GTGAAGACGACAGAAGACGAGCTGCCGAAGAAGCCTTGAAAAAGGCTGCTGAAGAAGCTGAAAACGAAGAAAGGAACGTAGGAAATCCAGTAGACGAAGAAGCAAAATCGACCAAGAAAGGTAAAATTACTAATTTAATAAAAAATTAAACCTTACCAAATCTATTACTGATAATTTTTGTGTAGGCTGATTCTGCTTTTGAGTCAGGAGCATCTACTGGAAGCAGAACTCCGAACGAGCCTCAAAATAATACAGTACTTATAGGATCACCTATAAAATTGCGAAAAACACAGAAACCTGTAGACAATGAAGAAACTACAGTAGATACCAATAAAAACCAAGACGAAATTTCTGATCAAAACGTAGAACCAATCGACAATCAAACTAAACCCTTGATAATTCCAAAACCCCAAGCACCAGTAATAAACTGCATACATCCAAATATTTCCACATTCGTGGACAATAATGTAAACTCATCAGAGTATTACCAGCTTTTGAGACCTCCAGATGTTATGGTGCAATCTGCACCACCAGTACCAAATGTCCAAATACTATCAGCACAAGAACAATTGACTTATGCTCCAAATTTTATGCAAAACCAACAAATTTATCACGAAATTCAGAAAGAGTCATCACAAAACGTTAGCAAGTTACAGAGTAGTTTGGAATCTTTGCAACTGGCGTATGCGCCAAATTTTATGGCACCGAATGTGCAACCTCAGATAGTTTATACAGTCAGAAATGTGGGGAACGAATTTATCCAAAAACCATGAATTGTGACAAACCTGATACTGCCAACGTACCAAATCCTCCAGAATCTTCACAATAATTTCACAACCATCACAAAACCAAGAATTAGTCCTCCAAAATCCCTTACCATCCCCCAACACTAGCTTCCAACCTTACCACAAAGACTTTTACCCCCATCAGGCAATACTACCACGATATGCCTCTGCAGGAAGTCTTTGCCACGTGGCTTGTGGCTCCGACAGACCCTTGACGCCTTCCAAATTTAGGTCAGGACAACTCAAGGAAGCTTGGACCCAGACTGATGAAAAAAATAAAAGAAGATCGGTTTCTTCTTCTGATGGCGGTGCCAGCAGTGTTAGAAATAATGGTAAAAGGAGACCCTCGAATGAGAGGCCTAAATGGGGGGCTAATAGACCCACTGTGAGATACGTTACTCAGAGCGAAAAGGATCCTTTTTATGAATTGAGGAGGAGCAATGGGGGACGTAGGAAGCATCGACAGATTAGACTCAGAAGAGCTTATGAAATACAGGTAAGTAAATATAAATTTTATCTTCTTATATATAAAAATGGAGCTCTCGATCAAATGATTTGGTAAAACTCGAAAACGGCCTTACCGATTTGGCCAGTTTTAGTCTTGAAAAATTCGTGCGAATCAGTAGGTTGTCGGAAAGGTGAGATATTATTTCAAAATCGCGTACAAACTTTAGATTTTTAATTTGAACATTTTTGTAGAAGCGTAATTTAAATTAAACAATTGACGGTGGCAATTACGTGAAATGTCAAACGCTCTTGACAGATGATGTTCAATTACGTTTAATAGGATGTTTTACGCAAATATTATTTATTTATGATAAATTTGTAGTAAGTAGTTTTGTTTGTAGTTTTATTTATATACAAAAAAGTTAGTAAACGGGCCGCAAGTGTTACTAGAGACTCAAAATATAAACTTTTTTGATATGTTAATATGAAAATGCACTTTTTGGCATATTTTTCTCAAACACGGTGCTCTGAAAGATCTCATTTGTATAATTATATACTCATTGGTAGTTATAAAACATTTTCTATGTTATATTATTTTTTATTTATCTTATTTAAATTCAGAACCTAAATTTGGTATCGATAAAATGGACATTTTGTCGAATAACATTTTTCCAGTTATAATTTCCCAGAATTTATCGCAAAATAGATAGTAATATATGGAGGTCCGGGATTAAAAAGGTCCAGCACCGATGTGCCAAAAATTAGTAAAGTTAAGCATTGTTTAACAACAATATTTGAAAGTAGAGGAAAAAAGATGTATAGCCAGCTATAAACTTGATTTGAAAACAATAATCTTTGAAATGGGGAACGGTTATCCTTGAAAATCCATAATAAAAGTATTTTCTTTTGTTGGTAGTTTTAGCATTAGTTAAAAATGTAATTATTTTGTAAAATACCTTTAAAATTATAATAGGGTTTTTATTAAATTTACTTTAATTCATCGAATGTAACTTGAAACTTTTCAAAAAGCAGGTCAAAGAAGAAATACTTAATTCATTTACTATCTCTCTTCGCAAAAATTTGAAAATTCTGTATAAGCTCAGTAGTATTATTTACAATTATACACAAAATCCAGAATCCAAAAAGAATCTGAAAAACTTGAAACGTAATTAATAAGCCGAAAGACCAAAAAAAAAGACTCGGATTGGATTATACGACGTTTTCTATAGAAAGTGTATAAAACTTGCAGTTTGATTGTATTGACAAAATATAGACAAACTAATGGGGTTTATTGTTTTTATAATACCTAACTGTATACAGCATTCAAACAACACATCCTTATGCACTTAAAATACTAATATTTTTGATTCCCTAGAAATTGTTTAGAATATACCTTACTCAGCAAAACAACGTTTGCCGGGTCAGCTAGTAATATATAAAAATGGAGCTCTCGATCAAATAATCCGCTAAAACTCGAAAACGGCCTTACCGATTTGGCCAGTCTCAGTCTTGAAAAATTCGTGCGAATCAGTAGGTTGTCGGAAAGGTGAGATATTATTTCAAAATCGCGTAGAAACTTTACATTTTCAATTTGAACATTTTTGTAGAAGCGTAATTTGAATAAAACAATGGACGGTAGCAAATCCGTCAAATGACAAACGTTTTTGACAGATGATGTTCATTTACTTTTAATAGGATGTTTTACGTGAATATTATTTAATTATGATTAAATTGTTGTAAATAGTTTTGCTCGTAGTTATATTTATATACAAAAACGTTATTAAACGGATCGCAAGTGTTACTAGAAACTCAAAATATCAACTTTTTTGAAATGTTAATATCAAATTGCACTTTTTGGCGTTGTAGCACTCTTTTTTTGCAAATCATATTTTTCTCAAACACCAGGACTTTTTTTATTTAACCAGGGGCCCTTTGGGGTAAAGGATACAATTGTTTGAGTATAAATACCTATAACTTATAACAATATAAAGAAGACTAGCAAATGTAATAAGAGAAGAAGGTTGTAGAGTGAAGTTCAATATATATCAATAACTAATTCAAAAGTTCAATATATCATAAACTAAATAGTGGTTCTATTCACATATCTTATGGTGATGGAATATTTATAATTTGCAGTGCGCTTATATCAAATTAATGACAGTGATCCTCATCAATTATTTTTTATTTATGTTATTTAAATTCAGAACCTAAATTTGGTATCGATCAAAGGGACATTTTGTCGAATAACATTTTCCCAGTTATAATTTCTCAGAATTTATCGAAGAATAGATATTAATATATGAAGGACCGGGATTAAAAATCAGTAAAGTTAAGCATTGTTTAACAACAATATTTGAAAGTAGAGGGAAAAGGGTGTATAGCCAGCTATAACCTTGATTCTTATGACTTTGCTACCGAGAGATAAACGGCAATCTTTGAAAATCCATAATAAAAGTATTTTCTTACGTTGGTAGTTTTTTAGGATTAGTTAAAAGTGTAATTATTTGGTAAAATACCTTTAAAATTGAAATAAGACACTAAAACCTGTTTGCCACCTGGTCGTTCCGAGTTACTCCGCCTCCGAAAAGGTCTAGATAACAAATTTTTGAAAAACATAAAAAATCACATTTTTACAATGATGAAATAGCTGGCAGTTTTACTGAACGTAGTCAGATAATTGTTCGTTTGATATTATTGTTGCGATATAATTAGTTTGATTTTTGTAATATAATTAATATTTGTTCAAAGTCAAATTGGACCTTTGTGCCTTGCCTTGCTCTACATATATACTTTTTATTAAGTTTACTTTAATTCATCGAATGTTACTTGAAACTTTTCAAAAAGCAGGTCAAAGAAGAAATACTTAATTCATTTTCTATCTCTCCTCGCAAAAATGTGAAAGTTTTGTATAAGCTCAGTAGTATTATTTACAATTAAACACAAAATCCAGAATCCAACAAGAATCTGAAAAACTTGAAACGCAATCAATAAGACGAAAGACCAAAAAAGACTTAGATTGGATTATACAATGTTTTCTATAGAAAGTGTATAAGACTTCCAGTTTGATTGTATTGACAAAATATAGACAAACTAATGGGGTTTATAATACCTCATTGTATATAGCATTCACAAAACACATCCTTATACACTTAAAGTATTAATATTTTTGATTCTCTAGAAATTGTTTAGAATAAACCTTACTTAGCAAAACAACGTTTGCCGAGTCAGCTAATATACAAATAAATATATGCATAATTATTTTTTTATTTCAGCAAGAGTACAGCGTGGATGGTTCCAGCGAAGACGACCAGCCAAACGACGAAGTCTTCTCAAAATCCACATCAGACCAATCTTCGAACACAGAAACACCTTCCAAAAACCAAAAACCAAAACAGGTTTCCAGAAACATTATCCACCAGACTACAGAAATCGTACCCTTAGTCCGTACTTCATCAGGGCTCACCAGAAAAGATAGGCTAGACGAGCAAAATGAAAACCAGAAGAAAAAATCTTCGAGGAACAGAAAGTGGTCCAGTGGAAGTTCCAGCGATGTGATTTTGGAGCAACTGATGACAGGTTCTGGTGTGTGGAAAAATAAAGGGATTGTTACCAGGAACGGTTGGAGAAAAATTGAGAAAAATGGAGGCAGTGATGAGGATTTGAGGACTATTGAACGGTTGGAAATAGAAGATTGAAGGAATTAAATTTAGGTCTAAAACAATACATTTTAGAATTATTAAATAAATAGTTACAAAGATGTACTATATATAGTAAAGATGATCATATAATTTCCCAAATATTTTAAACGTATGTTGAGAATTTTCTCGTTCTGAAAAGGACAGCTGAACCGATTTGAATGATTCAAAAAGTATTCAACTTGTGAATTTTTGTATTTCTGGTGAAGGCAGGCCCAGCCATTCTAAAACATAATTTTGTCCTAGAAAAACTTAATGGAAATTTATTCAAAATTTGTTTTTTTTTATAGATAATTACTTAAAAATTTTAGCTTGAATTATTTGACTATAAGTAAAATTTGAGTTTTATGTAGTTTTCAGAGTTTTGTATAAATAAGCACATAAAGTTAACAAAAAATTATTTTAACTGCTATTTTTATAGTTATATTATTTAAATTATTGTTATCTGTACTTTACTTTGATATTAAATTTTTTTAATATATTTATAATCCTTGAACTTAATTATTACCGTATTGTTAATAATTATTCGAATATTTTTATAAATTTTATACAATTTCAAAATAATATAAAAATTGTTAGCTTTTCCTCAAATTTTGCAAAATAAAGTTGCAAAATTTTTATGTCTTACACATCTCAAATTTGAAATAAAATTAAGAAATATAAAAAAAATTACATGTAAAATAAAAAATTATTCTTAAATAAATCATAAACTCATGTTTACTATATATAGCACAACGGGCTAATATAAACTCACCAATAATCAATTATATAAAATTAGATTTATTAAACAAATTTTATATCAATAAATTAGTTCTGTTTTCGCACCGATTTATATTGATATTATATCTTAAGATATAATCTTATATCTTAAGATTTAATCTTAAGATATAATTAAACTAGCTGTAAGTGGAATTCTGTCTTAAAGCAATTATGGCATCGTGCCTTAAGGCAAATTGCTGGAACTTCCCATACCGTAACGAAATGTTCGAGAAATTTTGAATGTTTTCAAATAGATTATTATAAATATTGTAACATTGTCTAATATTGAAATTGTGAAATTATTTGTAAAGTATATTAAAACTATAGTTAGAATTAAAAATAAAATCTGAAATATTTTCGATATACAAAAAACTAAAAAAAAAAAAAAAAAAAAAAAATTGGAACAAAATTTTTTTTTCCAAAATCAATTATTTTGTTAAGACAAGCAGAAAGTTCTTTGAATCATTTAAATCGGACGCTTAGTTCTCTCAAAAACTGCCATTTTTTACATATTTAGCTCTGTATCTTCGAAATGGCTGGGCCTGCCTTTGCCAAAAACTAATAAACACTTCTCCCAATCATTACTAATTGAATGTTTTTTAGATCATTCAAATCGGATACTCCGTTCTCTCAAAAATTCGATTTCTATTTTCTGCACTCTTTGCTCTGTATCTCCGAAACGACTGGACCTGCCTTTGCCAAAAACTAATCAGCTCTTTTCCCTATCAATAGGAATCGAATATTTTTTGAACCATTCAAATCGGTTGATCCGTGCGCCCTAAAACGTGACTGGAAATTTGTATCCATACATACATACACACACACACACACACACACACACACACACACACACACATCCATTTTTTCTGAGGTATGCCAAAACGTTCAGAAACCTTCAAAACGTCGAGAAATGTAAAAATTTTCAATTCCGATTTTCGGCCCATTACAATAACTTACCCTACGGGAAGTTAATAATTATTTAATATTTTATATATTATTCTATTAAATATAATAATTAGATTTACTGAATTTTAATTATATCTATTTAAAATATTTTATAACATTTATAAAAATGTTTTACCGAATGTAATCATTGTTTTAATAAAAATTGAGTAAAATTTTAATAATCGTTTGAAAATTTTATTCTTTAAAACTTCAATATTTTATTATAATAATATAATTATAATAGAACAATTGTAATCTATTTCAGAATTTTTACAAATTTAAAAAAAACTTTTTGATTGATTGATGAATACCACATAAAAATCTTGTAAAATGATAAATAATAATTATAAATAATTATTATTAAATATAAATAATTCTCTAATAAATATTATATACTTTAAAAACTATTTAATGACTTTAAGATAAGTTTAAAATTATCAGTCTCTAATTTGTTTTAATTTCCATTAAATCAGAAAATACTCCAAGAAAGCTATTTATAGAAATAGGTTAAATTTCCCAGTTGTTTGATCAATAAAACTCCATTTTGCCTAAAACTTGTTAACCTTGTTAGTTAATATTTAATATATTAAATGGATGATCTGTTTGGTGATAAAAAAGAGGAAACAACAGTCTTAGATTTATCCAAATGTTCAGCTGACACCAAAGAAGAATTTAAGAGGCTGCTGGAACAAGTACCTGACTACAAAACAAGACCCATCAAGGTAATAAAAATCTCTAAATAATAAATCTATTATTATTTATAATTTTGTTATTCAGGTTCGTCAAGAAGAGATCAGAATACGTGAAAAAAACTTCAAATTTCGCATTTCCAAAAAACGTTTGAGCCAGGAACTTCGGTTGCAACAAATGCAGGAGGCAAGGGCTAATAATACAGGATCACCTACACCAGGTAGAAAAGGAAATAAATGCATATCAAATTTAGTTATTATCCTTTAATATTTATTGCCTAAAAAGAAGTTCGTGTTTTAGCCAAAAAATCCGATAAAAATGAAAAACTTTAGAAAGATGACGACTTGGCTGGTCGTCAGCAGTTTTTTTTATTAATTATCATTTTGTATTTTTTATTATTTAGGGATGGTTCGTAAAAACAAAGAAGCAAACACAGGCGGAAGATACAAATACCAAAATCCGATTCCAATAGAGATGCAATCTCTAAAAATGGAAGATTTGTATTCAGTTCCAATTGATTGGAGAATGTTGACCACTTTGCGTCCAAAAAATAAAGTGGACGAAGAGTATTTCAGCAGGTACAATAATAAAATATATAAAAATTGTTATTAACAATAAAAGGTTTAAAAAATCACTTACAGGCTGGTGGAACTCGGAAAGGCTTCCATGAAAGCCCTAGAACGAGAAAAGACCCAGGAAGCAAAACAACCTGATGCTCGAAAGACCAAAAATCGTGCTGGAGTCATCGAAACAAGATTGGTGTCTTGTGCTGAATGTCTTGAAGAACTCTGTGACGGTAATAAAAAAATAGTAATAAAAAATTAATAAATAAAATGTTGAATTTATTAAACTTCTTTTATCCAGGAAAGAATTGTTACAAGTTCACCTACGACATGTTTGCCCGTCCAGATCCAAACGCGGCTGAAAATCAAACCGGAAACAATATTCCTAAAACAATAGCGCCCCAAAGTTCCGGAGCGCCCGGAGGAGGCACTGGAGGCGGAGGTTCGCGTGGGAAATCCCGAAACAACCAGCGGAGACCCCGTACAGTCGCTGTAGGAAATTCTAATGCTAAAAATAAAAGTGCGAAGGGCAATAAGCCCCTTAGAAGGAGCAAAAGTGTCGGACCTCAGTCTGCTAGGTCTAAGAGCAAAACTATGACCAGGAGCAAAAGTTTGGGAAGAAAACAGAATTGAGATAAAATTATAAAGGATATATAGTGTTTATTGTAGACATGCTTTGAAATGTGTATGTTTTGTTATACCGTTGTTATAAAATTTATCAATGTCACTTTAATAAATATTAATATCAATTTACTGGTTGTTTTTTACTTTTAAACAAATTCTGTTAAAACCGCCATTTTGTTTATTGAAAACTTCAAATCAACGGCGGGTTTTACATAATTTTTTGTGAAAATTTACTTCATATAATTACATACAAATAAACAAAGTATTTACCGCAAAATTTGTGCAAATTATAAACATATTAATTACTCTTAACAATGAACAACAAGCATTCATAAAAACAATACAATGACACTGTACATAACCCCAATAAAAAATTCTTACCTTATATCCACATTTTTACTTATTTTATTTAGTTATTTATTACTAATAAAAACGCATCCACGTATATATAATAAAGATTTATATTCTTTTTAAAATCAAAACACATAATTACACAATAATTTTCAACAACCAAAAATTGTGGCAAGTCAAATAATATAACTGTCAAAACACCGGAAGATAGGCGTACAAAAAAATATACAAACTTTTAACTTAAAACCACTTCACACCATTAAAGTAACGCGTCAAATTCAAAATTAATTATCTACAAATATATAATTTATAAATTATCTATTATACTACATTATTAATTACACATAGTCATTTAAAAATCATTTAGTAAAATTGTCTTGTAAGAGATATTATAACATTGTTCAGTCCCATGGGTAAAAATTCATTTGGAAACTATACAAATTATAATTTATCAAATAGATGTATAAACATATCATGTTTTACTTGAATTAATATTTGTTCAAAATGTTTTGCAAATTGCATTCATTATATAATAGTTTAAAAACTAATTTTCCTGCTTTTAATCTAAAATTCATGGTTTGTTTAAAAATTCTTTGCAGACAAAACATTTTAATCAAATATTCCATTCTCACAATAACAATTGTAAAAGAATTTCATATTACAATTTCCAATCTGATTAAAATTAATTACTATAAAAAATGATATGCGTACATAATTTTATATACATTAGCTAAATTTAAAGAATCTTCAAAGTCGGACGACTGTATTTAGCAGCCTTTGTGATATTTATAGGTAACTTTTGTGTTTGCCGATAGGAAGAGACTTAGTATTCATACACTGAACATGCAATTTTATTTATGCCTAATAGAACTTAAACATTTTTTTTGGCACTAGCAAATTTTTACCAAAAAGCCAACAAAAATAACTTACAAAAATATCTTCATTATATTTCCATCGTAAGCAAAAATAGGGCATAACACATCTTTACAATATATCTATATCTCATTATTTATTTATATATATATTAATTGTCTTTTTATTTATAATCTAATTGTATATATAACTATACTTATGCTTAAAAGTAATATTAAATATTTACAATTACACAGTATTTCAAATATCATCGAAACAGAAAACATTTATTTTGGAAAAATATATAGGACATTTTATAAGTACACAAAAGCAGCGCTCTTTCTATGTTGCAGTCTTATAAAAGTCGTATAGCGAGTTTTAAAAATCATGTCATAGTGTGCTGTATTTAAATTAATCGATTTTAATTAATATATTCCAACTATTAGTTAAGGTTAACTAAGTTTATTGTCATACAGTCGATCTATACCAATAAATTAATGTGATTTAGATCATATACACATTAAATGTATATATATATATATATATATATATATATATGTATATATATGTATATAAATGTATTGTTTGTATAAATCGACCCTAATTCTGTTGGACCTCCTAATACAATGAGTTTACTTTCATTCTAAACTATTAATATCTTCAAACAATAAAAAAAACATCGTTGTTAACAATTAGTTGGTCATTTCGCAAACAAAATCTAAAAACACAATCTCTAAAAATCATTCTCCCGAAAAAGTTATTACACTTTACAAAATATAAATACATGCAGCCTTTGATTTATTAATTATTTATCTCAACAAAAGCTGCATGTACTTTGACTAAAACAATTTTTTTTACAAAGCTCAGGTACCAGCTGAGAAAAGGCAGTGCACTTTTCACTCGATAAAACTTAGAAACATTCAACAAAATTATGTTTCAAAAACCAAAATTATATCAGCATATGATTCTGAAGTTTCAACCGCATTTATACGACTGACAGATATGATACAAACCATCACACGAGTGTCTTGTATTATTTAGACAGACAAGACAAGAACTCGTCAATTTTTCTTCTAGTAATTATCTACAATGTGATATTTATTCATTCCTTGCGAGCTTTCTTCTTGGTTTTCTTTGCAGCTTTGGCCTCGGTCCACACATCTGGTAAAAGAATTATTGAAGATTAATTTGTGAAGATTATTTGAGAATTGCTTATTGTACTTATTTTCCTTTGGAGATAAAACAATTGTCTATTGTTATTATACTTTTAAACAATGGAATTTGAGATATTGATAAATGTATATTAAAATTTCATTGTTACCTTGTGTAAACATGGAAAAATATTTCATTGTGTCTGCAATGAATTTTTAAATAGACAATGAACTTGAGTACAAAAGCTGCAAAAGGAAATTTTGCAAACGAAAAACGAAACTTTGTTTACTTTGAACTCCATCAATGCATTGTTTGAGTAAACAAACACTTTGGTGTATTTATACTAAGTACTATTTTATATTTTTATTATTTCTTACCTCCCAATTCATCAAAAGCAACAGGCTGGTCTGATACCGGTGCAGGTGCAGCAGTTTTAGCAACTTCAGGCTCAACTGCAACTTTAACAGCTTCCTCTTCGACTGCTTTGACCTCCTTTTTAACTTCCTTCTTCACTTCCTTCTTGGTTTCCTTTTTCTCAGCTTCAACCTTAGGTTGACTCTCGACTTCTTAGCTTTCTTAGCCTTCTTCTTATCATCAGCAGGAGCTTCCTCTTTAACAGCTTCAACTACCGGTGTAAGCACAACTTCCTTGATCTTTTCAACTTCTGCAGCAGCCTTTTGCTGTTCATTAACTTTGTCTTTAATTTCTTTTGTGACTTCTTCAAGTTTCTTGTTATCTAAAACCTCAGCTTTCTTTTCCTTCTTAGCATTCTTCTTGGGGCTTTCCTTTTTAGCCTCTTCTAGGTTCTTGCGATTCTTTTTATCATTTTTGGTCAAAACTGTTTCCCAGTTGCCATCATCAAAGTCTAGAGGTTTTTCTTCGGGTTGCTTATTTTTGGAGCTCTTCTTAACTTTCACATCATCCTGTTGATTATTTTTAGTGGTGGCTGCAGATTTTTTATCATTTTTCTTTTGAGCGGGTGCTTCAGCCTTTTTATTTTCTTTGTCTTTCTTGGCAGCATTCTGCTCTTTCGTGGGTGTCTGCTTCTCCTTCACAGGAGACTTTTTAGTTGGGGAGGCTTTTACTTCGGACTTAGATTCTGAAGCGCTGGTGGCATGGCCATTTGACACAGTTTTCTGGGATAATAGAAATATAAAGATCACATAGGATAGATATATTAAGATTATATATGTATTTGTAAATCTATATATGCTTTTTCCAAACAATTAATCCACTAAATAAAAAAACAGTTTTTGAGATGTTAACTATGACGTTTCAGAATTAGATATGTTCCATCATAAGGTTTTTCAGTCAAAAACAATTTTCTATAATATTTATGATGATGATTACAAAATATTAAAAAAATTATACACGAATGGAAATTCTTTTTTCAGGTGCTTTTGACAAAAAATGAGGTGTTTAATTTGGTGTTGGGCCAAAACAATACTGTTGTTCAATAAATGGTCAATCAAGGGGATAAGCAGTTGACCGGCTTATAAATGAATTAATAAGTGACCAGAGACCAGATATATCTAAATTATTCATGTGAACATCTTAGTATCATCAGAATAACCTAATTATAAAGTGAATCAGCGTTTTAACATTTACTGTATTACAAAGTTTGAATAAATAAGGTACAACAATTAAAATATCTGAGTCGAAGTAATACTACAAAGAATAAATTGTTAACCGGTCAATAAAGAGCTAGAGATCAGGGATATCTAAGCAATCAACCATGACCGGTAAGATGGTGATCGTAATATTCAATAATTATAGTGATGTATTAAAACAATATTACGATACTACTCTGCTAAATCACAGAGCAATTGTTGAAAGAGTGAAAGAATATAGATTTTATAAACCAAATCATTTTTCAACCACTATACCTATTTTCTAAATGATGATAGTTTTCATATTGTTTCACATTGCATAAGTATTGTATTGCACACGAATTGAATTAGCATATGGTAAACTACAAATTCAAAACAATGTGAATAAATTATACTAAACAATATTGCATAAAAGTTCTTAATTAAACGAAAGACTACATATGCATGCACTAGATTTATAATTATAATCTTACATATTATGTGTCCATTATTACATATGTCTATTATTACCTTCTCCTTAGTTTTTCCTTTTCTTGGCATCGCGTTTCTTATCATCTCCGGCCGATAATTTTTCGAACTTAGGTTGTTCGGCCGACTTGAATCCGAAAATAAATACCAAAATCGCACAGACCAAAACTGCGGCCACGGCAGTTGCAGGGAAAAGGAATTGCGCTTTAAGGGCGCTCGATAGAACTTCCATTACGAATTAATTTATTTACGATTTAAACAGCTAAAAAGCTCCCGTGGATGTGGGAGAGACAGATGTTTGATAAGACGATTTTAACTTATGCCTAGACGGTAGACACTTGCCAGCTTGTCACTTTGATATTTGATGACGCGTCTCTGACGTACACAAACTTGACAACCGGGACGACATAGAGGAAAAAAGGTTAATAGATAGTGACTGCGTACAAAGATGGAGGATTCGAAAATGGATTGAAATTTATGAGTTTCAAAAGCAAAATATTTATTTTGTGAAATAAACAGCTGCAATTTTTTATCTAAATAGCCAAATCTCAATTCTTAGATTTTTAAGTCAATGTTTTAGAGATATTAAGTCGATTATTTACTTGCAACTTGCCTGAGGCAAAATGCCACTTACACCTAGCCATACCAATTTAAAAAATTAACACATTTTAGTATGATTTAATTATCCCTTCCCTTAATTATCTTTCATTTACTATTACATAACAATTCGTTCGTTTATTTTGAGAAGCACAGACATTCTCAAACATAACCTAAATATTTTATTCGCATGCCGAATTTATTCGCTAATGTTTTTCAGCACCTGTGTACGTCACACTAGCAAATTTAGTAAGATTATAAATAAAACAAAAAGTTTTTATTTGAAAATGCTGATGAAGCTTTGTTAACTCGCATAAGAAACAATAATGCTCAAGCAGAAAAAGAAAAGCATTCCTAAAGGAACAGGTATGACAAAATATACTTTGATGTAATGATGGTGATTGAACTAATTGTTTTTTGTTTTGTTTCGTTAGATGAAGAAATTCAAGAACTGTCTGTAAATAATGAAATAGCCAAATTGAGAACTGAGAATTCAAAACTGTCTCAAGAAGTAACCAAACTTTTAAATCAATTAAGAACTTTAGAGATTGCTAAAGGAATACCTCAAATACCTGTACCTGGTCAAACAGTCCACATAGAAGCTCCAAAAGAAACTAACCCAGCCCCAGTACAGAACCTGCAGCACCAGCAAAAGAAACTAAACCAGTTCCTGAAGTAGCAGTAACTAAGGACCCGAAACAAACCTGCCAAGGATAAAAGAAAGATAAAGCCCAGCAACTCCAAAAGCACCTAAAGAAGCAGCTCCTGAACCTGATATTGATGTAGGCCGATTAGACTTCCGTGTTGAAAATTGTAGAAGTCAGCAAGCATCCTGATGCTGACAGTTTATACGTTGAAAATTGATTGCGGAGACCAATCCAAGAACTGTAGTTTCCGGACTTGTTAAATTTTACCTTTAGAGAAATGCAAAACAGAATGTTGGTCTGCTTGTAATTTAAAACCAGCTAAGGTATAACTTAACCTTAAATCCTACTTTATTCCCATTATATTCAATTTATTACTTCAGATGCGTGTCGTTTTATTATCCGAAGCCATGGTGATGTGTGCCTCAACTCCTGAAAAGGTAGAAGTCTTATCCCCACCTGAAGGTTCTGCTCCAGGAGATTTAGTCCACTGTGAAGGATTTCCCAGGCAACCCGATGCCCATTGAATCCAAAGAAGAAAATATTTGAAACTTGTGCACCTGATTTACAAACTAATGAATCCTTAATTGCATGCTATAAAGGTAAAGCTCTGCATGTGCCAGGAAAAGGTAATGTGGTTTCAAAAACATTAAAAAATGTTAATGTCAAGTAATTATATTTAGTTGTACTAAAAATCAATTATACAAATACTCGAACTACATGTGTATATATAATGTTTTTGTATAAAAATACCTATTCACAATGATTAGAGGACTTCAGTTTGTTAAAATAGTCACACACATAATAATTAAGCACTTAAGTTACTCTTCCATGCTCATACTCATTTCGTCGACGTTTGTTTCGTTCATTACTGAATATTGCAGATTGAGATGGACCACTTACACTTTGTGAAGGTTTTTCTGGTGTTATGAGTTAATAGGTGCACTGGTGCCTTCTCTCACTCAATACCTTTAAGTTTTAAAGGATCATTTGGAAAATCGTCAGGGGATAAATCTTCTTCCATTAATTGCTCTATTGTTAAACTGAGCATTGTTGTAGAAAATGTGTCATCCCTTCTTAAACCCAAGGCTATGTGGAACGAATCAACTGCTTGCGCAGTGTGTTTCATTAAAGCCTGCACAAAACCAATAGCAGCATAGGTATTAGGATTTGGGGGATCTATTCTTAGCGCTTGTTGTGGAAGTCTAGGCTTCTTGTAGTTTACCATTGCGGCGACAAGCATGTCCCAAATTGTTATCAAAGTCTCCCAGCATTCATTCACCAAACAATCACCGATGAAACTTTAGCTAAGGCTTCTCTGAACTTATTTCAGCAGTTTGATAATCCTGGTTATGAAAAGCTATAACACCCTTTCGTGTATAACAAAAGGATCTTCTGGACTATTTTTTCAGCTTGCGGAAAACTTCTCTGCTAGTTTGTTATTATTTGTTTAAAACACACACTCCAAACCGATGTACAACATAGGTAAATGACAACCACCATAAGTTTTGAAGCTTTAAAATAAGCAGCCATGCTTGGTCGTGCTCATTTTCCACACCAAAGCTGTGTCCATAAGCTAACCATGCTGGTCCTAGTAACTTGTCTAAGAAGTAGCTTTAGCTAAGTATCTGCGTGCAGGGTCACTTTTACCAATAATGTAATAATACATCCAACAGCATACCGAAATAGCTTTATCCGGGTACAAATCAACAAGTTTAGTGCAAGATAAAGAGTTTGTTGTAGTTACACATTTCTGATAAACAGCTGA